TTAAAACCTCAAAGCTCAATTACCTGTGCTAGTCATTTGGTACTCTTGCCCCGCCCACGGGAAAAATGCCGTTTACCGTTTTCTTTCAGGACGTGCTACACATGACTTTTTTTAGACCAGTTGTTACCATACTATTTTTTTGGTGCCCCTCTCGAAATGGCTAAATGTTTTGTTGTTTCAAAGCCCCCCCCCGGACTGTTGCCGGGGGCCTTGTATCCCCCACCCCTAGGGGTTAAAATAGACTTTGGGGCCCCTATCCCCGGGTGATCCTCATCCGAATGGTGGTACTTTTTTTCCCCGGGTGTTTTTTAGCCTTTGTGCCCCCTGGTGGGGTTAGCCCTCACAGGGGAACCTCTTTCCTTTGGTATCCAACTCGAGAATTCTGAAACGGTTTCAGAGAATGCAGTAACCTCTAAACCACAACGCCAGATGTATCGGAAATAGAGTTTGTGTTAGCAAACTGCAAATTATTATATATTTTAATTCTGAGAGTGGAAATACATTGATCATGACAAATAGAACAACTGTTTGAGATTCACTGAAGTCCTGAAGACCCGCTAACTTTCAGAGGCCGTTTACTTTTGCCAGATACCAATTATTTACTAGGTTCTGTGACACATGTGTCATGCTACACATGATAAAACAGGTGGTCCCTGAAATGAGGTAGAACCTGGATGTCCGAGGCCGAAAGTATTGTCACGAGACGATGATGTCACGTGACTTATTAGGGTTTCCCTAATCAACAAAGACAATCTTAAGTGATTTATTGTTAAGATGACGGCTCGTCTTGGTCTAGAAGGTTCTCTGCAGCTCCATCGGCCATCTAACATCACTTCAGGAATAAGGCAACTCAAATTACAGGCTCCACAGAACAACTAGATATTCCTGGGCACAACTTGGCCAGACTTCCTCACCACTTGTAAGCCCCCAGTCTAAATTGAATCACTTTCATAGTCAAATAACACAGTATTAACAGAAATCTGAAAATGTATCAAACACTCATACCAACCTGAATAAAGGAAACAGAGAAATACCTGACACCAACAAAGATGAATCCAGAATAACAAAGCATGATGTATTGAATTTCAACAAAGGTAAGACGTATAAATGGACTGAATAGACAGACAGAGCAATGTAAGACTGTGACATATTCAAAGTCCAATCAGCACTGACTACAGATATGACTTAAATTCACTGAGTGGTGTCATCATCGGTGTAAAGATAAATAAAATAAAAAAATCAGATAAATTGGGAGATGTGAACCAGCGTCATTGCACACGGTTAAAGACCAAAAGTGCTCTGCCACCAGTACGGACAGTTGATAAGAATTGTCCGCCTGTGTCGCCGTCCGCACTTAAAACTGTAACTACAGCGTCGTTCCTCAATTAACTCCAGAGTGTACCCATTTCCTAGAGGCTGGGTGAACCCCGGAAACCGCCCGGTTTCGAACACCGACCGTGAGCTGCAGCGATTCGCAGGTGGATTTGAATGCGAGCCTCTTATCGACTGCGCTAACGAGGCCACCGAAAGTTAGGTAAAAGAACATAGAACGTTCAGGCCAGTTGTGACTGGTTATCTGTAGGTTCTGGACTCTTGTACTTGTCCTCAGTGGTGAAGCAGACCAGATCCTCCTCTTAGTCAGACTAAGTCAAACTCTGCAGCAAGTTTGTGGACTTGAATGCATGGACACATCAAATTAACACTGCCTCTCTTGGAGTAGGTACACATATCACAACGAATAGTTTCTCAGATTAGGCACTGGCAAGTAGTTGGTCAGGTATGGCAAACACTAGACTGGATACAGCAACTGGTGTAGTGGGTCTCCAAGCGTTTACACATAGGGTTCAGGCACTGGACTTGGTGGGTCAGGGTACCTGGTGGATGTGGTTGATCACTGGTGGGCTGGGTGTCTATACTCAGGTAGAATTAGGATTGAAAGATGTAGCACTTTGGATGGAACTCTTTAGGTGTGATTTCAACTTCAGCTCCACCTTATACACCCTGGAGACAAAGTACAAAGAGAACCTTGGTTAATCAGCTGTCAAAACATATGCCTCGGTACTATTATTCTCACCACTCACCCTAAATTATTCGCTCAGCAATCAGTGGTCAGCCTTCGTAGAAAAGTGTGGACTGATTATGTGTTTTTTTCAAAAACCCTTACCCAAGTTTTAACCTTGCAAGCTTGAAAAGTACTCCTTAACTCCTTCCCTTGAGAACGGTGTCAGCCAAGCAAAAGAATCAGATCGCCCGTTGTTTCGATCAAAGAGTGTGTACCTATTCTAGGAACAGGGAAATTCAGGAGAAATATGCAACATTACAAATGAATTTCCCGATACTAAATCTGCGTTACTTTTCGGCATTGTGTTAGCCCGGAAACAGATCACATTGGCGTTGGTGTTTTCAAAAGTACGGAACAATTCAACTCTATGTTGACGTCTATTGTGATAAAATAACATACAATGTGATGTCATATGCTACTTGTTTCACTGCACGCATGAACTCTGTATGTGCTGTTGTGTGACAGAAGTTCACAAGTACTTTCCTCATTTCTTCCAGCACTGGCAGCCAAGTCACCTCACAGTGCACGCAGTACTGTAACTGTGACGACACCGATTTCTTTCCTATCTGCGGCGAGGATGGAAAAAACTACTTCTCACCGTGTCATGCGGGCTGTTTATCCATGGAGGACATGGTAACTTTTTTGATTGTAGATTTTATGAGAGTTTACATTTTGCTATTTAATATGTGCTTATGGCGATACCTAAACTTCAGTCACTCTGTCTTTCAAACACGTTGTCTACACAATGAAAGTTAGCTACAATGGACCTTCTCTCTCTCTCTCTCTCTCTCTCTCTCTCTCTCTCTCTCTCTCTCTCTCTCTCTCTCTCTCTCTCTCTCTCTCTGAGGTTATACTCGTTTCTGATCATCTATATCTTGACCATATCCTTCCACATGCACTGCTGCACTTATATCACTCCAGCATTTCTTTGTTTTCCCTAAAGCTGCAAACCAGCAACGATTGACATGACCTGTGGATGTGTCGACAGCGACTCGACGGGAGGTTTTGTATTGCTTGTACCGGTGTAAAACTTTTTCGTCTCTTGTGTTAGCATTTTTTATTTAGCAGTTAGCACTTTGCATTTGCGGTTTACAGCTAGGTGGCGCCTATTTAAACAAACTCCTATTTAGTTGCCTTTTACGACATGCTTTTTTAAAAGGAAGGTAGTTCTATTCCGTATTTTTCCTAAAATGGGGTCCAGAATCCTTTCTAGAAGGTATCATAACAAATAATTCATAGTGCTTCCTGTACATACATGTCACAGCGCCAGACATCAGGCACTGTTAGGTAAACATCGCATGATAACGTTAATCTCTTCACATACTCTTATTCTGCTTCTTAAACTTAGGCCTATCGTAGTTGAACAAAGAAATGATAAACCACAGAAATCACAATTTACTGCCTTTCATATGTCGTTGTATCCCATCTGGTGCGCAGTACAGCGACTGTTGAATGCAAGGATACACATAAATGACTCCTAACTTCGATAGACACTTATACGGTGTGTGAAATCCACTGTTTGCATCCTTTTTATTCACATATACAGAAGGGAAAAATTGCTTTAATTATTTATATTGTTGATACTTAAAATTGTATTTCTACAATCATATTTGCTGAAAACTTCTTGCATGGTTCACTTGCTTGTCACTCAATGTTCATTGTGCTTTCTGCCCCAATATTTTTAGACACAGTATTGTGTTATTTTGAAGCCCCACCCCGGCTGCCGTCTGGGGTCCTATTATAAGCTAACGGTTGAACTCTGGGGTCCTATTATAAGCTAACGGTTGAACTCTGGGGTCCTATTATAAGCTAACGGTTGAACTCTGGGGTCCTATTATAAGCTAACGGTTGAACTCTGGGGTCCTATTATAAGCTAACGGTTGAACTCTGGGGTCCTATTATAAGCTAACGGTTGAACTCTGGGGTCCTATTATAAGCTAACGGTTGAACTCTGGGGTCCTATTATAAGCTAACCGGTTGAACTCTGGGGTCCTATTATAAGCTAACGGTTGAACTCTGGGGTCCTATTATAAGCTAACGGTTGAACTCTGGGGTCCTATTATAAGCTAACGGTTGAACTCTGGGGTCCTATTATAAGCTAACGGTTGAACTCTGGGGTCCTATTATAAGCTAACGGTTGAACTCTGGGGTCCTATTATAAGCTAACGGTTGAACTCTGGGGTCCTATTATAAGCTAACGGTTGAACTCTGGGGTCCTATTATAAGCTAACGGTTGAACTCTGGGGTCCTATTATAAGCTAACGGTTGAACTCTGGGGTCCTATTATAAGCTAACGGTTGAACTCTGGGGTCCTATTATAAGCTAACGGTTGAACTCTGGGGTCCTATTATAAGCTAACGGTTGAACTCTGGGGTCCTATTATAAGCTAACGGTTGAACTCTGGGGTCCTATTATAAGCTAACGGTTGAACTCTGGGGTCCTATTATAAGCTAACGGTTGAACTCTGGGGTCCTATTATAAGCTAACGGTTGAACTCTGGGGTCCTATTATAAGCTAACGGTTGAACTCTGGGGTCCTATTATAAGCTAACGGTTGAACTCTGGGGTCCTATTATAAGCTAACGGTTGAACTCTGGGGTCCTATTATAAGCTAACGGTTGAACTCTGGGGTCCTATTATAAGCTAACGGTTGAACTAGGTGTCTGGGTTTTTAACCCTCTTAGTGTGGTTCTGGTGGATTTGAATGTCACTCTGTCACTAACTTCGTTTATTGTTCATTTGTCATGTCATTTCTCTCACTCCTTGAGTAAAGAAACCACAGTTATGTGTTTGAATCATTCACAAACCAGGCTTTCACCAACTGCAGTTGTATAGCAACGAATCAAACTCGGGGCACCGCCAGGGGAGGGCTGTGTATCTCGGACTGTACCAACCTATACCCATACCTTGTTCTCATCGGCATTGGAGGCTTCATCACCATGGTCGCTATGATGCCCAGTTTCATTGTCAGTATCAGGTAAGAACTTTTCCAAGTCCGTTTGCCAGCAAACCTTTAGTCATTTCCTCAAGACAATAGAAACCTTTCAGTATTATTTCAATAATCTCCCTAAATGTTAGTTGTAATAGATGTATTTATAAATGTGTGTATATATGGGAGGGGGGGGGGGGGATAATTAACATAATTTTTTTTTTTTGGATTCAGATTTATTAGGTGCATGTGTTCGTCTCAGCACGAATGTGAGAAGTATATAATGTATCTGATATTGATTTGTAAAGTATATTTTGCCTCTGTCACAGATGTATTGTCTTGTGTACGGTGGTGTAAAGATTATTTTCTCTCTGGCACAGATGTATTGTCTTGTGTACGGTGGTGTAAAGTTTATTTTCTCTCTGGCACAGATGTGTGAAGGAGGAAGATAAGCCGTTTGCTGTTGGTTTCAGCGCCTTCGCAGGGACACTAATAGGTAACTTACTTTTATTTATATGTTTTCTTCAGTAGTATTTTAGAATTAGAGGTTGTCTGTAAGTAAAAAAAAAAAAACGTAAACGACTTTTTTCCACTCCTTTATGGGTATAGGACATAAAGGGCTAGACCCATATTTTATAGACCAATCGGCTCAAGATTGGTGATATGGTTAGTATCACGCCGGCTGCCTTTACTTCCCGGGACCGCACCTGCTACTCACTCAAGGCTGGGTCGATCTGGGAGACGAGGTCTTTTTTTTTTTAAAGTCCGTCTCCGCCGGGAAGCGAACCCACGACCTTCCGTTCTGCAGGAGAGCGTCTAGCCTCTCCGCCACGGCGGCTCCAAAGCTGCTTGTGCGTATCCTATTTCAGAGATTCATTTCAGAGAATAGGATCGAGAAATGCAGCAATTGTAATCGGCTTGGAATTTACTAGTAAATATGACACCTTTATTTTTCGACAAGCATTTTATTGTAAGTTCCGTTCCTTTTTTTTTTTTTTTTTAGATTAATGTTATTATCAGATAAAGACCACTGTTAAATCGTTCAGTCAAGGACCACCTTCACAATGAATGTTGTCTGCAGTGCATCCCCAGCACATTGTCCAACACCCTATATGTACATCCTCTCTGACTGCGGTTTATCCATATGTTGATTTTATCCATCTGTGACGTGACGTAGGTGGATTTAATGATTTATACGTTGAGTAGGGATTTCCCTCTCAACACATCCCCTCCACCAGATTACCTGACTAAAATCCGAGCTATGATGCTCTCAGACAAAGTCCTGGATATCCAAGAAAACAGCCATATTGGCTCGTTAATTACTTTAACATTAGCTGCACTTGGTAACCACAAGAGAAGAAAAGGAGTTTTAGATGTCTATATCATTATACTGAATGAATTATTAGACAGGGCAAATGACTCCTCTGTCCCACTTTCTCCCGGTATGAATAATTAAAGAATTATTATTATTTAATGAGCCCCTACCAAATGTAATTCTATCTATCAGTTTAGTTAAAAAGGTAAGACTGAATACACTTGGAATTTAACAAACGATGTAGTATAAAACTTGACATACAGCTTTATTTTCTAACAATCAGTTCAATGACATTCCCAGTTTGTTGTTTTAAAACAAACAGTGACTGGCTAATGGTATGATAGTGATGAGATGCTTCAGCGAGAAAACAGCACCTGGGATTAGAGTGGTGTGATGAGGATGATAAAGTACGAACAATGTATGAACATAACTTATTTATCATAGAACCTCTGACAGCCGTGAGCACTGTCAAGCTCTTCCTCCTCTTCCAACTTCTTCCCTGCCGTTTGTCCGCCTGTTTCTCCTCCTCGCTCCCACCTCGTTCCCAGCTGGCCGAGTCTGACACAATGTAGTCTCGTTCATGGACTGATCGTCACATGGGCGCTGTAATCATGGAAACAAACACATACGTGTAGTATCTTGACTTACACTAAGAATACATGTATCAATTAATATAACATATAATAATAAAATATATCCCATCACTCCTCCTCATATTCCACATTCTCTCTAGTCTAGTCTGAAGGTCCTTTGTCTTACATGGACGTCACATATCCTGCCTTCCCTCTCATGCTATGTCATGATAGTTGACTCTCTAAGTCTGTTGTTCGTCATCACTCAGACTTCTAACTGGCTGACCTTGATTTGGCATAAACATGTGGCGCAGGTTATGTGCTGAACACGCAAAACATTTTATACGTGCACGCTTTCCTGAATATTATCTTTCAGTGACAGTGAATTCTATATACCCATCATTCTTCCCCTGGGGTTATGAATCCCCTGAGTAGGTGAACCCATTTAGTGAGCACATGGTGGGCACACACAACGTAACAGCATCCCTTGACATATGTGGGCATCATTTCCTCAAGTCCAAACTCATGTTTTGGTTGATGGTTGAAACATTATAATTTCATCATAATTCAGTATACAAGTCTTATTTTATAAACATGAAAACACACTGAAAAACATGTGGCACAAACATTTAAGAAATAGGAATGGTTTAGCAGTTCCCTAACGGAGATACTGAATACGCACAAAAAAACTATTTCAAGCAGAATGTGCAGACAAATTAGGAAAGGTAGAATAGGCTTTAGCTAACTCCCTAACCTATGTATAAAGATTGAAAATAATTGTACAAGCTTACCTGGGAAGATTCCATCAATCGCCAAACCAGAATCAGACCGTAAAATTACCTCTACGTCGATCTGTGTTTGTTGCTCGAAGGCTGCGATGTGAATGAAGTGAACTCCCGATGCTAGAAATATAAGTATCTAACTAATGTCCAAATCAAACTCCTCCCCCTTCTAGGTTCTACCCAACCCTCCAGGAGTTGACCTAAGCCACGCCTCTGAAGTACCTTGCAGATCAAATTAGCTAACAAGTGGCCTGTCACTCAGGGTGAACAGCCTTGACCGATGTTTGGACATCAGTTGGCAAACACCTGTTCTCTTGAGAATTTCACTGACATGTGTGAAACTCCAGCCTCTTGTCGCCACCATGTCTAGAGTTGTCTACCAGACCACTTAATTCCCCTGATCCGCTCTGTTTAAAAGCGCCCCACTCAGTCTGTGTTATGTAACCTCTATGACACTAAGGTCGGGTTCAGGGGAGCTAATCTCAGGTGTTATACTAAGTTATTTCCCCCTTTACTCACCTCTACAGTCTGTGGGCAGGAGATAATAATAGGACACTGGCTGGTGAATCTCTAGCTACAGTAGTGTTAGGTAATATTACACAAGGCTCAGTCCTTTGTTTGGACTAAGGACTGGAAACATTTAAATCAATTTGGTTTAAAGTAATATTTAGGTTTAGGGCATAGTAAATCTAATTCTGTCTCTTTAGAACCCGAAGAAATTATTACAAGTACTTAACTTCTGGAACCACTGAGGTCGTCTCGTGACACCATCTCAGTAGTTTCGGTGTAGTTTTATTGGTCGCCTAACTGCAACTTTGCTCTCACGTATGGTTTCTTTGCTGTGATTTTTAATCACATGAAATAGTTCACATATTACTTTTCTATTTCTTTTCACGACTGTGACGTGACGGGTGGTTTAAAATGTTTTATAATGTTGAGTAGGGATGTTCCTCTCAACACATTTCCTCCACCAGATTAACCGAATTAAAATCTGAGCTATGTTGCTCTCAGACAAAGTCCTGGATAACCAAGAAAACAGCCAAATTGGCTCGTTAAGTACATTAACATTAGCTGAACTTGGTACCCACAAGAGAAGGCAAGGAATTTTAGATGTCTATAGCATTTTACTTAATGAATTATTAGACAGGGCAAATGATTCCTCCGTCATCTACCTTCTCCCGGTGTTATTATTAATAATTAAAGAATTATTATATTATTTGAGCCCCCACCAAATGTTATTCTATCCTAACAGTTTAATTAAACATGTAAGAACAGACATTTGGAATTACAAAAACTGATGCAGAATAAAACTTGACATACAGCTTTATTTACTAACAATGATATTCCCAGTTTGTTGATTTACACAAACAGTGACTGGGTTATTTGATGATAGTGATAAGCTTCAGCGAGAAAAACAGCTCGGGGTTTAGAGTGGTATGATAATGATGAAAATAGGTTAACATAAAGGGGTTAACTCAACTTATAAGCCTCTGACAGCCGTGAGGAACTGTCAAGCTTGTCCAACTCTTCCTTGCCTGTTGTCTGCCTGTTTCAGCTTATTCTCCACTTCATCCCCACCTCGTTCTCCACCTCGTTCTCCACCTCGTTCCCAGCTGGCCGAGTCTAACACAATGTAGTCTCTTTCATGGACTGATCGTCACATGGGCGCTGTAATCATGGAAACGAAACACATACGTGTAGTATCTTGACTTAGACTAAGAATACATGTATCAATTATTGTAACATATAATAATAAAATATATCCCATCACTCCTCCTCATATTCCACATCTTCTCCAGTCTAGCCTGAAGGTCTTTTGTCTTACATGGGCGTCACATATCCTGCCTTCCTCTCTCATGCTATGTCATGATAGTTGACTTTCTAAGTCTGTTGTCCGTCATCATTCAGACTTCCAACTGGCTGACATTGATATTACATGACCACGTGGAGCAGGTTATGTGCTGAAAACTCAAACAATTTATATGTGCACGCTGTCCTGAATATTATCTTTCAGTGACAGTAAAAACTGTACACCCATCATTCTTCCCCTGGGGTTATAAATCCCCTGTTTAGGTGAACACCTTAAGTGAGCACATGGTGGGCACACAAAACGTAACAGCATCCCTGCACATATGGGCATGATTTCCCACAGTCTAAACTCACATTTTGGCTGATCATGGAAACAATATAATTACATTTCATTATAGCAAATGTCATTGTTCACAACTTATTTTATACACATGAAAACATACACTGAAAAACCTGTGACACAAACATACAAGAAATAGGAATAGTTTAGCAGTTCCCTAACTGAGATACTGAATACTCACAAAGAACTATTTCAAGCAGAATGTGCAGACAAATTAGGAAAAGGTAGTATAGACTAAGCTTAACTCCCTAACCTAAGTATACAAGATTAAAATTAATATTTTCTCTTACCTGGGAACTTCCCATCAATCGCCAAAACAGAATACGACCGTAAAATTTACCTTTTAGGTCGATCTGTGTTTGTTTGCCGGCAGGCTGCGATTAATGACGGGAATTTCACAGGCTCGAAGTATAAGTATCAATCTATTGTCCAAATTAGTCTCCTCCCTTCCCTCGGTTCTGCCCAACCCTCAAGACGATTACTTAAGCCCCGCCTCCGGAGTACTTCTCAGATCAAATTAGCTAACAAGTGGCCTGTCAGTCGATTCTGGACTGACGTCCCTAGAGCGAACATTCTTAAGTGACCCAATCTAGTTTACACCGAATCTAACTAGGCGGTGTGAAAACGGTCCGTGAAGCCAGGGTGTTTACTACTTGACCCAGATCAAACATTCCTAATTGCCAAACACCTCTTCTGCCAAGAATTACACTGACTTGCGAAACTCCGACCTCTGGGCTCCACATGGTCTAGCGTCTACTCAATTTCTACAGTCTGGTCAGGAGATAACATTCTGACACTGGCGTGAGAATCAAACCTCACATCCCTAGTCTGAACCCGCGGGCTGTATTACGTAGTGTTAGGTAATTTTAAACAAAGCGCAGTGGCTTTGTCTGGGAGAAGGACTGGTAACATTTAAATCACTTTGGTTTAAAGTAATATTAGGGTAAAGGGCAGAGTAAATATAATCCTCTCTCTTTAGAACCAGAAGAACTTATTACAAGTACTAACTTCTGGAATCACTGAGATCGTTTCGTGACAACGACTTTCCAAAACCGGTGTCTTATGTATGCTGTTTATGCTTTCATTGAAAGAAGACGTATTTTTCCCCTGTACATTCCCACCCATGGTCGTACTTGGACTGTCTAATAGCTTGACCACATTATCCGTTCTAAAGTGCCCTAAATGAAGGTTGAATAATCATTACTTTTTGACTATGCTCATTATAAAATTTGATTCCATCATGTAACGTGTCACGTGTATTGCGCACCGTGTTCACTTAGTAATATCACTGGCTGATCTGTGTTGATTCCCTTGCAGGCTGGTTTCCTGGGCCGGTGATCTTCGGATCCCTCGTGGACTCCACCTGCATATTATGGCGAACAACGTGTGGTTCAGTCGGCGCATGCTCCCTGTACGACATTGAACTCTTCCGGCTACGAATACACGCGCTTATGATGGGCTTGAGGATTATCACATTGTTCTTCTTTATCCTGGCTCTGGTCTTTGCTCTCTGTTCCAAGGAACCAGTGTTCCAGTCCCACATGGATGAGGTCACCATTGCGGTAACTGCTAACGGTCACAAGACAAGCAAAAAGACTGACCCTGGATCTAAAGAGTGTACTAAACCTCAAAATAAGGAAACATACATTTAGTGATATTGTATTTTAATATGTTGAAAAACAAAACGTTGGTTGTATTACATAGAGCCAGAGATCTTTACACCGTATATAATTTTAAGGACAGTTTTTTTTTTTTTTTTTTTTTTGTTCTTATCATTTTCGTGACATTGGTTAGGTTGTGGTAATTTTTTTAATTTTAAATTTTTTAAAATTTTGTTTTCTGACATTCATGGACAGATAAGTGTAAGATTTTTTTTTTTTTTTTTTTTGAGTAGTCTTTGTTTTTACCGGTCCTACCAAAGTAAAGGCTCGACACGTGTGACTTAGAGAAGTTCGTTTCTGATGTCAGTGCAGTAGGAAAGAACATCAACACATCCTGTTCAATAGCCTAACACGATTGCATTGGAACACCCTATGGTTAAATATGAACGAGAGAAGCGAAATGTACATATAGACATCATCATTACCATAGTCAACTTCATCATAAACGTCAACCTTTGTCTTTAAGTGTAAGGGCACTGCTTCAGTCACACGTGTATTGATTCTTTAAAAACGAAACAAACATACACCAACTTGAGACAGTCCTAAACTGTTAAAAAAAAAACCTTATACAATGGCCATAATTGTTAAAGTTCCAGCTAGAATTAGTGGTTAGTTTTATTGTAATAGCAAATGTTAGTGAAAGAGTGTCGGCTGGCCCTGCGCTTGCGACAGTGTCAACACTAGCTTCTTTGAAGATTTTTTTTTTTTTTTTTAAATCTCGGCCATGTGCACATGCCAACAACAGCTGGAACAGTGAAACATACAGGTGCATGTAGAAAATATTCTCAAGTTTTTTGACAATAAGCTTAATTCATACAGGAAAGAAGGAAATAAGGACGAGCCGCTGCTGGTGGGGAGTCAGAATTTACGGCTGAATGCAGGGAGCACAATACTGGCTGTTGTCATTCCAGGTGGATATCGAAAGTCTTTAAGACCGACACTGTAAACAAATATAAATTTCAGTGTTAATAATCTTGCATAGAAGAGAGACAATTTTATATCTACACTGCTAGCCCACACACAAACATACACTAAAACACGAATATAAATGGTGGGCACTGGATAGGATACTAACCTTATCCTAGGAAGAGGAAATGCAATCTGAAAACTTTTATGGCAGGACAGACCAGGCTCTTAGCCTTTGCTGGCAGCTGGTCTAGGAGGGAAGCTCTGGCAGGCGGACCGATAGATAGAGCCCTGATCTTCTGATACAGCAGTATCTAATACCGGCTTTGTTGCAAATATACAGGTGTTACGTTTCCTTTAAAGTAAACAAGGCAGATCGAGAAAGGAATAATTAATGCATGGGCAACATTATGGTCTCTATATTACTACCCAAGTCTTTGTGTTGAGGAGAGGAGGAATAAAAAGAATCGCCATCGCTATGGGCTTTGAGTCTTATGCTTCTTCACAGCACAATGTAAGAATTTCATCTGAAAAGACATAAAGGTGCCAGCAAGGGTAGGGTGCAATGTTACTTTAATAAGGGCACCAGCAACACATACGACAGACGTTAAGAAAACATGAGCAATTTTAACTAGAATGTCTTTGCACTGGAACCGACAAAGATTTAGAAACAAAGGCAGACACAAAAACATGGGAAAGTGAGCAAATGGGTGAATCAAAATAATATAGGGAAGACATGGGTATGCTGCATGCATCAAAGGATAGATTCACCTGTCGTGATTTGGTTGATGGCACGTACTCTACTGGAAGATGATAGGCAGAAAAAGAAAAAGATTAAGAAGAAGAAGGAGAAAAGGGAGTAGAAGAAGAAGAATTACAGACTACTAGTTTGCAGCAAAGCAGGATTCACTTGCTTTCAACTAACTCTACACTAATATTTCTGTAGTTCACTTAATACCTACAGGTATACGCTTGGGAAATCGAGTTTAATTTAGTTTTGATGCGAAAATATTCTTCTCAAGATTCACATTCTTATCTTTTTACATTTCAAGTTTCACTCAAAAAATGATTAGTGTAGATATAGGCTTATGACAGTCCACTTGTGTGAATTTAGATTCTGATATTTCCCTCTCCTCTAATCGTACTGATCAAACAATCGTCAGAAAAGAAACAAAACGCTTAGGTTAAATGGTCTAGTTTGAACTGACACAATTTTCACCATTTATGACAGGAAAGCGCAACACACAATGAAGCACTACACATTGATAATTTCAAGCGAAATACGTACTGTTTCGTATTGCTAAGTATATCTTACCAACGACACTCTACAATTAACCATGTGATTCTTTCGTTTACATTAAACGGATCACATATCATAACACCTCTTTGGCTAATTTGACTACCCGCCTATTTAGTGTGTGATCAATATCGATGTAGAGACATTCTATACAAATCATTATGCTAAACCAGTCTATTATGATAATCGAGTTTGGATGTTTGTGTTCTAGAACAGCTTAGACGAAGTAGCTGGTCGCCAAGCAACAGCTTTTAATTGATCGTGTTGAAGTTCTAATATTCCACACCATTAGAGAAGTACATATCGTAGGATGGCATATGTACCCATAGTGTCCAGTACGCTATTTTTTTTACACGCACACACACGCGCGCGCACGCACACACACACACACAAGTTTCTATGGCATTGTTTCCACCACCTTACTATTTTACTGACGCAATGTTAAGAGGTGCATTGTTTGATACTGTGCATCTAAACAATAGCTCGTCCAGACAACATCTTGTGGCGATGAACTTTGAATATATAAATGTTTCTTCTTTTATAATTCAGCACAAACATATGCAAACACAGCGAGAGTAAATCTTATAATATTATATCAACTGCTGCATTTTTTCCCAGATTACATTACTCTGCCATGTATGAGATTCATATAATTCAATTATTGACTGAACATGAACTTGACAACATTTTTATTTTAATTTCTTGTGGTAATTTGACAAACCTAATATAATTAAATTATTGACTGTGATGTGGCATGGAATTGACCTGATATAAATGGCATTTGACTTAACATTAACATTACTGGACTTTATGTATTTTTAAGGGGGGAGGGGGGGGAGACTGGAACAATTGCTGATTTTATATGTTGAGATAATTAACTTCGCATACACAACTAATGACTCGACTGAAATCATGATTCGGCACAACATGATCAACTGAAACTCGTCTTATACAAAATGTCTGGCTTGACCTAATAGATTACTGGATCTGACACGATCAACAGATGACTTTTACAACGGAGATTTCTGGATGTGACACGATCAACAGATGACTTTTACAACGGAGATTTCTGGATGTGATGTGATCAACAGATGACTTTTACAACGGAGATTTCTGGATGTGACACGATCAACAGATGACTTTTACAACGGAGATTTCTAGATGTGATGTGATCAACAGATGACTTTTACAAGGGAGATTTCTGGATGTGATGTGATCAACAGATGACGTTTACAACGGAGATTTCTGGATGTGATGTGATCAACAGATGACTTTTACAACGGAGATTTCTGGATGTGATGTGATCAGCAGCTGAGAAGAACTAACACTGTTGGTTTTCACAAAAATAAATTATTGACCTGACATGATCAACATCCCGAGGCATGTGTATCACATACAGAAAGATATATTTATTGAGGTTTCACCGCTTTGATCACTATCAGATGTACCCTGTGTAAGCAACATCCAGCTTTGCTACACAAAAAACTGCAAATAGCTAAAAACAACTATTGCTTCAACATCAGAGATATTTTTAAATGGTAAAAATGTGTCTACGTCATGTTTCCTTCCATAATTTCACACCAATTAATCTGATACAGTGGCCGTAATATGAATTAAACCTAATAGGAGTGTTTTTAATAAATGTTATTCGGTCTAATTGCCAAAGTGTGTGTGTGTGTGTGTGTGTGTGTGTATGTGTGTTTGTGATTGTAAATGTATGAACGTTTTTTTTTATTTTATGTTTGGTATCTGTTGCTGGGTTTGTAAAATATTTGTCACTGTAAAATGTGTGCTGTTTATAAGTATATTCTTTTGTTCTCTGTAATTGTGTAGGTTGTTTCGGTCTGTTCTTTACATTGTCTACATTTGTGTATGTCAATGATAACACTGGTCAAATATGTCTGTCAATTATTATCTGTTCAGGTATATCTATGTCAGTGTAAACGCTCCTTAGATATGTGTACGTCAGTGCTAACGATGCCAGATATACATTGTCAATGACATGACATAACACTGACACTGCTGACAGTATGGCACTCTCCAACAACGACAACAACAATAACTACCACAAATGTTCTTTCATTACCTGGCACTCCGGCGTGCTCCACACAGAAGAACCATGTGAATCCCTGTAATACTGACATGTTGCTGCTTTGTATTCATCATTGAGTTTCAAGTTGTTGGAAAAAAGGCCCGTTTTTGGTCTTTCACGATCTTTCCATTAACTTAGCTGAGAAATCCCAGCTATATCTTTCATCCCTATGATCAGAACAATCGGTGAACCATGGCCAAACTTTAGTACTTTCGAAGGCGTCGGGTGAACACTGTTTCATCTAGACTGACAATTCATTTATCACTTGTTATACCTGAAATATACATACACCATAGTACGAGATTTCTATTGAATAAATCTTATCTAAAAACTATTTGTATAAGAATATAAACATAAGTTTACAATGTTAATAATAATAAAAATTTAAAAAAATATATAAAACAATTGAACACTCGGGCATAATCCGAATCTATCAATATAGAAGTAAGGTTTTTAAACAGCACATGGAAGCTCATATATGGAGGTATACAATGTTTGGAATAAATGCATGCACAAACTTACAGGTAAAATATAAGATGATCCAAGTTAACGGCATGTTCTCTCCAAGGACGCTGCTGACAAACCTCAGCAAATATGAGTGTGGGTTTATGATCAAGTGCCTTGTTAACTGCTATGGTTTGTCATATTTCTCCACAACCTGCGATTTACATCAGCATGGGACAGTTCATGTGCTGA